TTCTCTTTTTCGCGATCTTCTTCAGGTGCAGTTGTTTACATATGTAGAATGCAGGAGCAATCAAGTTTTTGTAGCTCTCAAACCTTTGCAGCACTCCGTCCAAGACGAAGTGTGGACATCGCATAAGAGTAACGATGATGTATATACATCTGGGTACAATGCCGTGGCGCTGAGCGCTACCCGACTTATCCACCCCAACAGACACATACTAGTAGCAGCACATGTCGATAAATACGTCACCCACGTATACACATACCTGGATGTGGAATGCGCGCAAACACGGGCGTACTCACGCGAACACCGACGTTCTTTGATGTCGTATATCGGTAAGGTGTGCCTGGTGTGTATGTATCACCACATACGATTGAAGTCGTACAAGAGGCATACTAGCAGGAGAAGCGAACTAGCATAGAGTTCTGCTTAGCTACGATATCACACACGTAGTTCGATTGGTTAAGCTCTCTCTTTCTCTTTGGTGCTTTCTATTCCGCTGTTACGACTGATCCAAGAAAGCTCCATCGATGTGTGGCTCCTGGCCTGATGCTCCTTCTGTTTTGGCAGCAAAGACAACATGACGGCACTCGCATGTACAGACCTTGTCACACTGGTGCTCGACATTAGAGAGCGTAAATATCCCGTGGAGTCAATGGATGTGAAGCAAGGAGTCACGACGAGATCAAAGACGTGATCAATACTCATGAGCGTAGTGTCCAATCTTCTGAAAGCCTAGAACTTCCATAGCGTGGTCGATGTTCTCTTGAACAGTTGAGTTACCTTGCTCAACGGCAGTACTATTGCATAGATGAGGAGACGTACCGGTAGCTCATCCCCAATATGCTTGTGATGTTGCGTATCCGACTGGCTATGCTGTCTCACATATAAGCAAAGCATCGATTGACAGTGCGGGCTTTCGTGACCATATCAAGTGATCAGCTAGCATTGAGGGTACGGCGTGTAAGGTTCTATAACAAGGTTTCGTCAACACCGATGCCAGCGTATCGAGCTGGAATAGTTGGGCACAAACGTGGAGACCATAAATCCCATCTCATTTTACACGGCCTCGGAGGAAAACAAACACCACAGTCGGGAAGAACGCCATCCATGCTGAGTTTTTTCGACCAAATAGTCGCTGGATGGCCGACGCTTCACTCGTATAAACGGCGAAAGGTATACGGCGACGTTGTTCGAGTGGAGTTCTACGAGCGACAAGAACCAAATGCAAACAACAATCGAATGCAAGACTTGAATGAATGTCAAATGAGATGGAACGAGGGTGTCGACATGAACGATAGTTTATCCCATAGTTTACCGATCTCACAACAATCCTTCCTGCTTTTCTGCCAGCTACGAACACCAATGTTTTTGGCACTCGCCTCCACAGCGTTTCTGGAACACGCATGAACGACTCGGTAGTGGGCGGCTGCTCTACGTTGCGACGGAGCATTTCGGCAAAACGCCTTTTGTGGTGAGATCCTCGATTATCGATTGCGCTGGGATGCCACCATTCAAGCACCCACCGCAGTGGTGCATCGCGATGACATTATGGTCACTCGTGCCAAGGATCGGTGAGCCTGACGCTCCTTCCTGGGTGTCGATATAGTAGCCCACATCGTCTTCGCGGCATTCGGTGACCGTCAGCGACTCGACACGTCCTGGTTGACCATTATACAGCCATGCAATACGTTTGCCATAGCCCAGCGGATGCTGCGGAATGTAAATGCTTTCCTTCGGTACCGCTCCCGATGCGCGGAACTGTAGATAGCCACTCGTCTTCTCGTACAGGCCGGAGTAATCCGCAATACTGTCGTCGATACCAAGTCGGACCACCGCGTAGTCCAACTCTTCCGAGACGGCCACTAGTGTTGGCGACGTCACGCCAATCGGTCCTGGACATCCACCCTGAGAGTCACAAGTCTCACCGCCTTTGCAGCTCGTTGACTGAGCGAGAAACTCGACCTTTGTATTGAGTGCGTCTTGGACATTGCTGATGCAGTGCTGATTCGTGATTAAGTGGCCTTCACAACCAAGTAGCCAGCCCGTACAGTAAGCGATGACCATACCATTATCCTTACTTATCGACAGTCGCGCAACAGGTTGCGACTTGGCCAGCATGATGGCTCCTTCAGCAATGTTGGTAGCACTCGGCGCACAAGCAGCCTCGACGGATTCATCCGCACCACATAGACTTTCGTTGTTGATGTGATCGTTGTCATTGGTGTCAGTCGTATTGGAGAGGTTGGTTAGTGGCACCTTGACAGCCACTTGCAGGTGCTGCGCCTCATCCACGAGCTCTTTCGGGGTAAAGAGCAATTGGTCCACGGTGAAGCCTCGACACGAAGTTGAACTAGATTGATCGGATACCGGAGTCTTGAATAGTTCCAGGACGACTCCTTTCCCCGATATCGCGGTCGAGTGAAAGTTGCCCGTTGCATTCTTTCCCGACAGCACGGCCACCGCTGGTGTCGTCTCTGGATCTTTGGAAGCCCTAAGTACCAGACGATCGGATTCAGGAAGGTTGAAGTGCGTGAAATGCAGCACGTAGATGCCCTCCCCGAGCCCAGGGTCAAGCTGTAGACGATAGGAAGGCTCGCTTTTGGTCGCATTTGGCAAGGTCGAGTAATTGGAGAATGCGCACCCCGCGCCAACCAGGATCTCTACTTCTTGACCTGTTGCTTGGGCAGCGGTATCCACAGCTGCAAGTGCGATTAGGAAAAATGAAAAAGGCCACTGCATCTTCGTATCGTCGTGTGTCTGGAGCAAACAAGTCAAAAAGTGTTGTGACGCTGTATCCTTGCTTGCCATTTCTGCCGTCCATCTCTGATGTCACGAGGAAGTGATTGAAAGAGAACTTCGTCGTCCTTCAACGGAGTGAGGTGGTATGACGTTTTGGACGTCCACACGCTCCAGGACGGATGGTTCGCTATCGACTTGAGTCGTCCAGAAAGCTGCTAGATATGTGCGACTGATAACACTTGACTACCATCTCATCAATGTACCGCATACGATCACCATCGCCAGTTGTTTACCACTTCAAGACCGTCATCTGCCTCTACGACAATCTGGTTGATGGGCACGTTGTGACGGTAATGAGGCGTCATAAAGCTACACGCGAGTTAAGCGCGACATGCCACGCATCTCGTTGCGTCGCTTTCTGGAGTGTCGTGACTGCTTCAGGACAGGTGAGTTGCTGTTTGCGAGACATCCAGTGCTAGAAGATGGCCACTACCAACTACGTCCACCACCTAAGGGTGTGCATGACCCGTGTTTCTTGACCACAAAGTCCACGACCTACGGCTGTGCATGGTCCATGTTTCTCGACCACAAAGTCCACGAGCCTCACCTCAATGGGACGCTCGCTTTAATGTCAAACCGTAATCACATTTGGATGACAGCCTCTGTCTCATCATTGGCTTGTTCGCTCTGACTACCACGATTGAACCTCCAGAGATGCTAAGCTAGGTGGGTAGTAGTGATTAGTCGTACGATACCGACACGTTTTCCGAATGGACATTCTGTCCTCGGATGTGATCAACCTGCTGGACTGCTCCTGCGTTTCGGCCCGGGTCTTTTTTTTCTCTTTTTCGCGCGATCTTCTTCAGGTGCAGTTGTTTACATATGTAGAATGCAGGAGCAATCAAGTTTTTGTAGCTCTCAAACCTTTGCAGCACTCCGTCCAAGACGAAGTGTGGACATCGCATAAGAGTAACGATGATGTATATACATCTGGGTACAATGCCGTGGCGCTGAGCGCTACCCGACTTATCCACCCCAGCAGACACGTACTAGTAGCAGCACATGTCGATAAATACGTCACCCACGTATACACATACCTGGATGTGGAATGCGCGCAAACACGGGCGTACTCACGCGAACACCGACGTTCTTTGATGTCGTATATCGGTAAGGTGTGCCTGGTGTGTATGTATCACCACATACGATTGAAGTCGCACAAGACGCATACTAGCAGGAGAAGCGAACTAGGATAGAGTTCTGCTCAGCTACGATATCACACACGTAGTTCGATTGGTTAAGCTCTCTCTCTTCTCTTTGGTGCTTTCTATTCCGCTGTTACGACTGATCCAAGAAAGCTCCATCGATGTGTGGCTCCTGGCCTTATGCTCCTTCTGTTTTGGCAGCAAAGACAACATGACGGCACTCGCATGTACAGACCTTGTCACACTGGTGCTCGACATTAGAGAGCGTAAATATCCCGTGGAGTCAATGGATGTGAAGCAAGGAGTCACGACGAGCTCGAAGACGTGATCAATACTCATGAGCGTAGTGTCCAATCTTCTGAAAGCCTAGAACTTCCATAGCGTGGTCGATGTTCTCTTGAACAGTTGAGTTACCTTGCTCAACGGCAGTACTATTGCATAGATGAGGAGACGTACCGGTAGCTCATCCCCAATATGCTTGTGATGTTGCGTATCCGACTGGCTATGCTGTCTCACATATAAGCAAAGCATCGATTGACAGTGCCGGCTTTCGTGACCATATCAAGTGATCAGCTAGCATTGAGGGTACGGCGTGTAAGGTTCTATAACAAGGTTTCGTCAACACCGATGCCAGCGTATCGAGCTGGAATAGTTGGGCACAAACGTGGAGACCATAAATCCCATCTCATTTTACACGGCCTCGGAGGAAAACAAACACCACAGTCGGGAAGAACGCCATCCATGCTGAGTTTTTTCGACCAAATAGTCGCTGGATGGCCGACGCTTCACTCGTATCAACGGTAAAAGGTATACGGCGACGTTGTTCGAGTGGAGTTCTACGAGCGACAAGAACTAAATGCAAACAACAATCGAATGCAAGACTTGAATGAATGTCAAACGAGATGGAATGAGGGTGTCGACATGAACGATAGTTTATCCCATAGTTTACCGATTTCACAGCAATCCTTCCTGCTTTTCTGCCAGCTACGAACACCAATGTTTTTGGCACTCGCCTCCACAGCGTTTCTGGAACACGCATGATCGACTCGATAGTGGGCGGCTGCTCTATGTTGCGACGGAGCATTTTGGCAAAACGCCTTTTGTGGTGAGATCCTCGATTATCGATTGCGCTGGGATACCACCATTCAAGCACCCACCGCAGTGGTGCATCGCGATGACATTATGGTCACTCGTGCCAAGAATCGGTGAGCCTGACGCTCCTTCCTGGGTGTCGATATAGTAGCCCACATCGTCTTCGCGGCATTCGGTGACCGTCAGCGACTCGACACGTCCTGGTTGACCATTATACAGCCATGCAATACGTTTGCCATAGCCCAGCGGATGCTGCGGAATGTAAATGCTTTCCTTCGGTACCGCTCCCGATGCGCGGAACTGTAGATAGCCACTCGTCTTCTCGTACAGGCCGGAGTAATCCGCAATACTGTCGTTGATACCAAGTCGGACCACCGCGTAGTCCAACTCTTCCGAGACGGCCACTAGTGTTGGCGACGTCACGCCAATCGGTCCTGGACATCCACCCTGAGAGTCACAAGTCTCACCGCCTTTGCAACTCGTTGACTGAGCGAGAAACTCGACCTTTGTATTGAGCGCGTCTTGGTTATTGCCGATGCAGTGCTGATTCGTAATCAAGTGACCTTCGCAACCAAGTAGCCAGCCCGTACAGTAAGCGATGACCATGCCATTATCCTTGATTATCGACAGTCGCGCAACCGGTTGCGACTTGGCCAGCATGATGGCTCCTTCAGCACTGTTGGTAGCACTTGGCGCACAAGCAGCCTCGACGGATTCATCCGCACCACATAGACTTTCGTTGTTGATGTGATCGTTGTCATTGGTGTTAGTCGTATTGGAGAGGTTGGTTAGTGGCACCTTGACTGTAACGGGGCACCCTGAAGCTTGTACTGATGACAGTACAAGCTACTTATTCTGATGACAGAATAAGGCGGTGCCTCGTAACTTCACGTACACTCGTACGTGCAGAGGAAGACGGTAAGAAGAAGCGAGTACTTGGTTAGAGTAAAAAGTAGAACTGTATTTATAATAGTTAATGTCTGCAATAAATCACTATTTATCTTCATCTAACTATGTCTAAATACAAATGCGTAAATCAACTATCTGCTCACCACTCATTGCGTGCGTCTGTCGTGGCGCGTCTTCGTTGGTTGATATAATGGCCTATATCAACCAATTAGGAACTACTCGTAAGTGCTACAGAATATTTGTCCTTATGACAATATTCTGAGAATATAACTCTTATAGTTATATTCTATTAACAATTTCTTATAAATTGTTATGTAACGATTCACCCCGTTACATCACCCCCCCCTTAACCATCAGTCACTTTAGTGACTGATTGACTAAATGGATACTCGTCCCAAATCATTTGGGACGGGGTTTGCACTTGTTGGTCCGCGTCCACTTTCCAACATCTCATCGCATGGTAAACAAGCCCATGCGATGCGCGAGCAAGACCGCCGAGAGCGCGTCTGCACGTCTCTGTGCGGACGCCGAAGCAGAAACAACAGCAACTGATGTCCCATCGGTTGCTGAAGCGACCCAGCCTGTGTCACTTGGTGATGCAGGCGCTGGTCATGAAGACACTCGTGTCTTCACAGAGTACGAGCTCGGTGTCTCGTACTCTCCTGATACGGATGACGGATCCGTATCGACGGCGATTGAATCTAAGCCGCCTGCCAAGCGTGGCATGGACGATGCTTTGCGTCGCAGCATCTTTGGTTCATCTGATGAATCAGATGAACCATCGCCGAAGCGAAGGCGCTCGAGGTCGCGAGACTCGGGCGCTAATAGTGGTGTCGGTTCTCCTATGGACACCACTTCACAGCGAGGCGCCAGTACTTCTGTCGGCACGTCGCAGGAAGAGCGGGACCGCAATGTCTTGCGTCTCGCTCCAGAAAAGAAGGCATGGATGCCTCCGAAATCCGTCATGGATCACTTGTCGGCGACGACGAGTGATCGTTATCGAACACGATTGTTCGATTCGTCAAGGATCCATCACCTTGACCCCAGCGCGAAAAACTATCGCGCTGAACACGAATTCTTCATCGATGCTTTCTTCAAACATCGATGGTACAGTGGGAATCACAAGCGTGATGGTCCCTCACTACTTCAGGCGTGGAACGCCTACATTTATAACCTCGAGGATGTAGGTCGTGACGCTTGGAACGACAAACTTATCAAAGCTCGTGATAAGTTTGAAAAGCGAACCCCGACAGGTGCACGCTACAAGCTGCATCGTCGGTCAAGGGAGAAAGGATTACCCTGCCTCTCTTGGGGAGACTCGTGCCCATGTTGTGTGAACAACTCTGCACGAGCACCTAAGGAGGCTTACCTCCTTACCAGCCCGTGGTGGCGCGTACGTGTCTCTACTGAGATGTACGAAGGGATTGACAACCTGAAATCCCTTTACGACCGTGCCGGGAAGACTTTCTCCGGCGGTCCTTCTGCGGCACAGGATGTGCCGCGTCGTACTGCTCAACCAGACCCAGTACGTCGATCATCAGTTGGGAGCGGGGCTCCCAAGAATCCCAGGACGGGGGATAGCCGCGCCACCGGACGAGATAACTCGTCCGACGTCCGTTCACGTCGCGGTGGTTCAACAGCTGCTCTACTAGATAGCGCTGGCCACCGCGAGAGTCCTCTAATGGAGGTGGAGGAGGAGGAAAGACGCTCTCCACACGATCATGTGGATCGGTGTGTTCCCGAGAGCTTCTTTGATCGCGTAACGCAAGGGTTACGCGACGATCTGGAGCATGAGCGGAATAGGCGTCTCCAAACGGCGGACACTGCCTCGAAGCATCGAGCTGAGTTTGCCTTTGCTCAGCTTGAGAACGAGAGATCTCTGACATCTCTTCGTGACGAGCAAAGGGTAGCTCGTGGGATTGCTGATCGGTCTCGGGATGAGATAACTGCTCTTCAGACCCTTGTTGATGCCCACCATCGGGAGCACAAGGCTCTCTGCGAGATGCTAGAGCGCAAGGGCGTTCTTCATCGGAAGAAGCAGCGTACTGATGGTACGGCTTAAGCCGACCAACGTAAAACGTGGGATGCGTTCGCATCTTACGTGGTAACTCGATCGTGTATGCATTGCCTAGGCGGTGCAATACACGAAATGGGCCGATGTACTTGGGTAGTAGTTTACTACTACCCAAGTTAGTCACTACATGCTTTGGTAGATTAACCGTAGACAGTAGGACTAAGTCACCTTTATTAAATAAAAGAGTCTTGGCCCTTCCATTCTTGTCAGCGTTTTGCTTTTGCTTATCCACCGCTTCGGCGATGGAGTCTTGCACAAAACGGACTACCGTTTCACGAGCCAGTATGAACTCATCTGATGACTCGTTAGCTTCAGTGTGCTGTGAGCGCACTGCAGCAACATCAAACTTTTCTTCAGTGAGGGCTTCCGCACTCTCACTGGGATCATCTTCTTTAGTGAGGGCTTCCGCACTCTCACTGGCATCATCTTCTTCGATATCAATGTTATCGATATCGGCATCAAACGCAATGACTTCTTCGTCAGAGCGTGATGAGCGTGAACCAAATCGGTTTTTTGCTCGCGCGAGTCCCTCCCCCCCCTTAAACCAGAGTTACACTCGAGTAAGGTGGGTACACGCGGATGGCGCAAGCCATTCACGTAAAACGGTGTATGTGTCGTGGACGCATGCACCGAGTTGTTGATGGCAAACTCTACCATTGGCAAAAACTCACTCCAACTCTTAAAGGAGTGTACGTATCCTCGAAGTATCTCTTCAAGGACACGATTGGCACGTTCCGTCTGACCATCTGACTCTGGATGATCAGATGTCGACATCTTCAAGCGCGTTCCGAGTGATTTGAGCACGGAACGCCAGAAATCAGCAGTGAATCGTGGATCTCTGTCTGATACGAGTTCACGGGGCAACCCATGAAGTCGGAAGATGGTGTCAATAAAGACACAAGCACAGCCACTTGCCGTGATTGTCTCTGGTACAGCCAAAAGGTGTACCATTTTGCTGAATCTGTCAACAAATACGAGAATACCCGTATTCCCGCGTGCGTCTTTGGGTAACCCGAAGACGAAATCCATTGAGATGGATTCCCAGCACTCAGCCGGAACCGGTAGAGGCTGTAAAGGTGCACGCAGTGAAGGACTTGACTTCACTCGTTGGCAGACTTCGCATGCGCAAACATACTTTCGCACAAACTGATACTGGCGGGGCCAGTAAAAGTCTCGACTTACCGTGAGATATGTTTTCTCTCGGCCACGATGTCCTCCTATAGGAGCATCGTGATACTCGAACATGATCCGCAAACGCAGATCAGTATCATCTGGAATGACAACACGTGGTGTGTCACCAGAAACGGCTGTATAGTACAGTAAACCGTTACGAGTAGTGTATCGATCTGATGCAGATCGATACGCAGACGACAATCGTTTCAACGATTCTCGAGATGGTTGGGAGAGATGTGACAACAACTTCACTATCTCACCATCTTGGGCGTATGCCCGCCTCACATCATCATACAACGTTGTAGATGGAACTGAGGACGTCATAACCGCAACAGTGACTGTCTCACTGTTGGGTTTCGCGACTGTTTCAAAGTCGGGACGACGTGAGA